ACTGTGTTCAACAGTGTGATCCCCCTGTAGTTTCCTGGGTCAGTCTTGCCTCCTTTCTTAAACAAGTTCACAACCACTCCTTCGCTCCATCTACTTGGCGTATACTCGTTTTTCCACACCCAATTGTATAGCAGAACCATCAGCTGGATCATCCCCTTCCCCCCAAACTTCATAAACTCGTTGACTATCCCATCCGCTCCTGCTGCTTTGTGGCACTTCAGCTTGCTCACACACGCCTCAACCTTGTGCTCAGTGAACTCCTTTTCTAGTTCTACGTTCCCAACGTCTGCCTTCGATGTCCCTTCTTCCTTTTCGGCCCATGCGTCCACCTCCTTCTTACACGTTTGGTCAAAAGCTTCTCCGAGGGCACTCCAAGTCTCTTGTAGTGTCCTGCTAGAACTTCCCTTTTTCCCTTCCCACTGCTGACTAATCCACCGTTCATACCTCGCAAAGTTGCTACCCCTGCATCTCCCCCTTGCGCGGTCTTTTTTACCATTCCACTAATCCCTTCCCACATCTGCTTGACGTTCCCCTCCAGGCCTCCGTTGGCCTTCTGCACTACTTCGTCCCAAATGCACTTTTTCTTCTTTGTCATTAGTCCCTTCACCTGTTTCCTCTTGGCCCTGTACTGCGGCGGCGGCGGGGGGGGAGGGGCATGGTCTCTCTGATTGCTCCTAGCCTTGCCATGGGGCGCTTGACCGCGCATCTCACTTGTAAAAGCAAGAGCATGGGGCTGGAAGCTGCTGGCTCTGGCACCGCTAGTGTTAGCGGTCTCGGCACCGCTCGTGTTGGAGCCATGATTTCTTTCTGAGGCATTTTCCAAGGTCAACACCCCACCCCGTACAGCAGTATGCTTACCTGCTGTTTCCTAGTTGTGACCAACGGGTAAGGCATAGCGTGATCAACAGCAGGTGCTACTGACCGATTGCTGCGTTCGTTCGCCGGGGACGAGCACACACGGGCGTCCCTGGCGGGGTGGGGGGGGGGGGGGGGGGGGGGNNGGGGGGGGGGGGGGGGGGGGGGGGGGGGGGGGGGGGGGGGGGGGGGGGGGGGGGGGGGGGGGGGGAGGGTTCCACTACACTAGTCGTTTTATCGGACTCTTCCACCTTATGGTGTGTCATCGCTCATTGTCCGGGAACTAACGGTGCGGCTGCCGCGTGGTCCTCGACAAACAGATATTTTGATGTCTAATCTTCGTTCGTTTTCTGAGTGTAGAGCCCCCCCTCTCCCCCGACGGCTTGATGCGCGCGAAAGGTCTCAACTGAAGAAGCCCTAGCAGGATACCCGGTGGGACCACCGTACATGATGCACCCCCGAGACTGGGCTAGAGTTCTCGACTTGTGGGTGGCGCTATCCCCCAAGGTGCACAAGGGGCACCCGGGTATCCTCGCAGAGATGTACGGCTTCTGCATCGCCGCGGCGCACATTGGGTGAGTCAATTTTTTTTTGTTTCTCGCCCTACTCTCGTTGGGTGATTTGCGCCCCCGTACAATTGGTCTTTGCTCGATGGGTGTTAGTTATTTTGGTTGCCGACAGTGGGGTACGGTTACGGAGCCGGCCTTGGTGGGATGTTTGTTGGGTGCCAACAACGGCGTTGCGGTCGCGGTCATCGGTGTTTCGTGTTGCTCCGATCCACGTAGTAGGCTGCGGTTGAACGAATGCCGTTTGTTTATTTGTTTGTCGCTGTTGCTCGAGTCGTTATACAGCGTTATTAGCTGGTTTATTGTTCTGCTGCCGCACTTTGCGTCCTCCTTGTGCCTGTGTTTCTTGCTGCCTTGTTCTTCATTTTTTGCAAGTTTCAGGTATCAGCTCGGTTAGGCTCGCCCTGTTGTTGTTTATTTGCGAAGTGTGTTTTCTCGAAGCTTGTTTCATGTTTCATGTTGAAGGGACGGGAGGGAAGGGCGTGGGGATCAGTCTCGCGACCAGCAGTGCCTCGTCTTACACCCACCTTCATACACGTTTACTATCTTTGACAAGCTACGACCGCCTTTTGTCGGCTTCCCTCCCTCCCTCCTTCCCCCCCTCCCACTACTGCGACACAACTAAAACACAGGTTGCGACATCGCGTGGCGTACGGGCTGATGGTGTCGGACGCAGGAATGCCGGGCAAGGAGGGGTGGCCGTTGGTAGACCAGTTGGGAACGAGCGCGTGCGACCCCGACTCCGTGGACCACTGGCGGGGGAGCCTTCCCCCCATCGTGCACTATTGCCAGGTGCGGTGGCAGCGGCGGCGTGTCTGTCTGTATCTCCCGTGCTCATCTTTCGCGCGTGGGAGGGGGGGCGGCGAGGGGCGGCATTACTTTCGTCGAGAAAGACGTTGCGGGTAGGCAGGCATAGGTATTTAGCTCGTGGGCAAAGCATTTACAACGGTGGTGGCCGTGATCCCTCGAAAGCTGGCAGTACATCAACGAAACCGGGGGCGGGGCTTCTGGTCTGCGCGGTGACCCTCGGACTAATCCTTCTGTGTGCCGTTCTTTTCTCTGATGCGAGGATACTCGAGTCAAGTTTTGTCCGTCATATGTAGCTCTGTGTCAAATGTGGCGGGAGGGCCACTGAGCTGAGGTCCAAGAGAAGTGCGTGGTGGTTTACAGCAGCAGCCCCTACGTCAGCAAAGTTGCTTGAACGGGCAGATGCTGCTTAGACCGACGCTAGTCTACCGGCGGTCTCTCTGTCTCTCTCTCTGTCTCTCTCTAGCCAGTTCGTATTATCGTGGTCGCCCTTGCCCTCCATTGCACACCGCTACAGTTGTATGTGCCTTCGATGCCACTATCGCCAATCTCCCGTGTCCACCTGCTGTGTATATCCAGAGAGACACATGCACGCACGCCCGGCTAGAATTAATGAATCACGCCTCGACTTCCTTGCACCACCGCCCCCCTCCGTCGCTCCCCCCAGATGTACCGGGTGGGCACCTTTATGTGGGGCAAGCGACACCACACCCACCAAACCTTCTTCGGCTGCCACTCGGACTCCCTCGAGCTCCCCCCGCCGGACTACCTCGCGGGGCCCATGGCCGAGGTCCGCGTGCACCCGCACCGCGCGAGGGCGCAGTCGGGGAACCAGGCGGAGCCGGAGCGCGTGCCGGCGGCGATGGGCATGAGGCAAGGGTATGCCATGTGCGCGGTGCTGCGAGCCATGAACGAGGCCCTGGTGAAGTTCAAGTACCGCTACTGCGAGCCTGGCGACGTGAGCGGGGGGGTGCGAAGGTTCACGGACCTGGCGAGGGAGCAGCTGGATGCCGACGCCTACTCGTGATACGGCAGAAGAAGGGAAGATGCCGGTGGCGGCGGTGACGTGATGGTGGTTCCTCTTGCCTTTTTTTTTGTTGTTGGACGCTTGCTCGCCCGGCAAGAGAGCAACTACCGTCCTGTCGAAGGGAGAGAGGTCTCGGGATTGGTCATATTCACTTACTCTTACGAGGGGGTATTGCCATTGATGTATGTGCCTAATGGTAGGTACCCTGGATGATAAGATTTAGTTGGCTTGGTTGTGTATTTGCTAAAGTTGGGAGATATGTATCTCTTATGCAACAGGTTTTGCGGGTCTGCCTGCTGCTGCTATGGACTATACATGTTTAGCGGATGGGAGGGGGGATGATCGGGTGCGGTGCGTGCTGTGTCAAATGTGTTTCTCGGTCGGTTGGGTGGGCAGGTGAGGGCGGGGGGGGGGGCAGCGTTATGGTGTTTGGCGGGGAAACAGGACCTTTTCGACGTCTAAGCTTAGCGGTACATGTGTCCCCCTGCCCTTGTTTACATGGCGTTTTCTGCCAGGGATGTTGTGACGAAATATATGATTTTCTCAGCGGGGTGGATCCGTCGATGTTGATGTGCTGTAGTTTCTCTGTGCAGTGTACTATGTAGCGTCGCGGACACTATGTATGCCCGACGCTCTTCTCTTGCGAGTAGTTGCCGCGGTGTCATTAGAGAAGTTCGTCTTTTGTTTATCCCGCCTTGGCCCTCTGGGAGAGGTCGCGATGCCGTGGCTGATGCCCGGTCCGCTCCACTTTTTGTCGGACCGTGATGTAGGCTAGGTTTTGTCATGTAGTCGATTAGAGATAATAAAACGCGCCTCGCCCCAAGGTTTGAACACGGTACCGGATGATCTTGGTACGCGTATGTATCGCGGGTAGATATTGTCTCTTGTCTGTCTTGATGGTCACGAGAAATTAGTTCTTGGCGATGTCCTCTATCCTCCACGATCGGGTACGAATGTGCCCACCAAGATGACCGGCGGTACAAGCACGCAAGCCTTGGCTCGTAACAGTTCGCCGATTGGACGAATAGGCGGCGAGAGAGAGACCTGGGTGGCAGTGTGTCCACGACAACTTGTGTCGCGCGCGTAACAGAGAGACCATCCCTAGACCAGAGTACAGACGTGCAACTCCCCTACAACGCCACCGCTGTCTGTTTACTGTTCGAATATCAATTCTGGTTCGTTGTCGGCAGCAGGGAGCGCGGGATCTGACCCCCGCTTTGCGGTTCTTTCGTGTCTTGTCTCTCCCCCTTTCTCGAAGCTGCTTCTCTTCTCCAATTCTGGCGCAAAACCTTACATGCTTGCTTCGTGCTCATGACTGAGACTGATACCCTCAATCTTCAAGTGGGCAAAGGAGAACTAAACCAAGCGAGTGCCGTCTAAAAAGACTGGGGTGATGCCTGTTGCCCCCATCTACCGCCGCCCGCAACAAAAAGAAAAGGTTTCGTAGGGCGCATGGTGTTGTGCCCCCGCGGCTTGCAAGACCTGCTGGATGATGGCCAAGGGCGTCGGCCCTTTTCGTTCGCAGAGCCTCGTCCTTTCCGTGATCGTTTCTCTGTCGAACCCCCGGTCGGCAGGTGGGCATTTCAGTCAGCACACGGCGCAATCGCCTCTGCCATGAGGAGCGTGCTTTCATCTGCGGCGGCTAACCAATCAAAAATTTATTTTTGCCTAATCACTACGATACTACTATTATTTTATTGCTGCTGTTGCTGCACAACTATTGCGAACTGCGGTGATGGTTAAGGTTGTTTACCCAGCCCAACCCCGGGCACAAAATTCACTCTACAGCCTGTTTCAGGGAGATCCTATCTATCCGTCTGTCCACACGTCTTGCGTACTATTTATTCTACTGCGCATGAAGGGGTCGGCGCGGTACACATCACGCTGGATAAACACCACCTAATCGTCCGCACGAGCGGGCCGGTCCCACTCCTGTCCCAACACCATCACCCCTCGGACACTTTGCCGCATCACTCAGGACCTTTCCCCGCGGAATGCTGTGCAGCTTTTGTTCCCAATGAGCCAGTCCGCCAAACAACAAAACAAGACTGTACGAAATACGGAGGATTGGTTGCACAAGAACATTATTTAGTTCGTGCGCACAAGAGCCAACACTCCATACGCCGGCCGGCCGGGCCCGCTACCAACAAATCGGTTCCGCCCGTCTAGTGCAACGCAGCGGGGGCAAAGAACGGCATCCGAGAGAGCGCGGGCCTCGCCTCCGGCAGGTGCAAAAAGAGGCTCGCGACCAGCTTCCCGGTGAGGTAGACCTCGCCCCCGCACCCGGCCGCGGCCGAGCTTCCCTCCTCCTGGCTGGCGCGCACGGCCGCCTCGAGCCGCCGGAGGGCCACATCCAACCGCTGCGGAACCCCGCGGTCGTTCAGGTGCAGCACCCGGGAGAGCACGCCCATACCGGTCCTCAGGTCGACCGCGCCCTCATGCCTCCTGGCTAGCTCCGCCGCGGTGGCGGCTGTGCCGACGGAGACGCAAAGCGCTCGCCGGTAGTCCAGGACGATCTCGAGCAGCGCCGTCAGGGCTCGCTCGCCGATTCCTCCGATGCCCGCCATCAACGCGCCCCCTCCTCCTCTTACCGCAGCCGCCGCCGCCGCGTGCTGGCTTCCAGAGCAGGCGTCATCCTCCTCCAGCTGCTGCTGCTGCTGCTGCTGCTGCTCCGGCGGCGGCGGCGGCTGATGCCCGCACCACACCAAGTGGGCCAGCAGGTCCGCCGCCTGGTCCGGGCACGCCTTCAGCGCCGCGAGCAGGAAGCCCCTGTCCGTCACCGCCTCGGCCCCACCCCCGAGGGCCTCTTCGACGGTACTCCCGGCCCCGCGCGCGCCGGCGAGGAGCCGGTAGACGGCGCTCACGACGGCCTCGAAGCCTCCGACACGCTGGAGCGGCAAGACCACCGTTTTCGCCGTCGCCGTCGCCGGCGCCGCGTTGCCTGCCGCCGTCGCCGCAGACGCAGACGCCTCCGCCATGGCGAGCTCGTGCGAATGCCGAGCCCTGAGGCAGCCCAGGAGGCGGGGGACCGCGCGGCCCGCGATCAGGACCGCGCGCTGGGAGTGGTTGGCCGCCGCCGCCGCCACGACGGCAGCGACGTGGGCCAGGCCCCCGAGCGACGCGCCCCGCGCCGACCCGTACGACTCGTCCGCCAGGAGGTCCAGCAGGACCCGGGACAGCGCCAAGGTTTGTTGGTCAACGACGGCGACGCTCGCCGGCGCCACCGCCTCCGGCGGTTGTTGTTCGTCTTCACCCTCCGACGAAACAACCGCGCTCGTCGCACCGCCGCTCGCTGGCGGCGCGTTATCATCGTCGTCGTCGTAGGGCGGCGGCGGCGGCGGCGGCGGATTGGACGAAGCCTCGACGGCGTCCACGGCGAGGTGCTCGAACGCAAGGCGGGTAGAGGTTCGCGGGCAAGAGACGAGGAGCTCTCTCAGGTATCCAGCCTTGGAGGGACGGACGGACGGACGGACGGACGGGGGAGGGAGGGAGAGGGTACAAGGAAAAAACCGTTAGCACAAAGGCGAGAGAAGGACGTACACGTGTAGAGGGCAGAATGATACGTACACGTGTAGAGGTGGTAGCGGGTGGTGTGGGTGACGGCGACGGGGGGAGGCAGGGTACTCATAGCCCTGCATGCCGTGGTCGTTAGACCATTGACGTCGCGTCCCTACAAAGCCGGGACAGAGCACGCCGACGGCAAAGGGAGAACGGGGACGCGGAGCGAAACACACAACATCGTACGACAAATCCAGACGACACGGCAGGCCTCCACAATACCATACCCTTGGGGTTTGAACGCGAACAAGAACCTCACAAGCGCTGTTTACAACCCCGGCCGACAAGGCCTCAAGACAGTTTTGACGGCGGGGCAAGCGGGCTCCATCCCTTAGCTGCCAACCAGCACCCGCGGGCCCTTGGACGAAGTTATTGTTCCCGTCATTGCTGTCAATATCCGACTACTATTTTACAGCACAACAACGCATCGCGCCCTATCGTTGTCGTTGCTACATAACCCCACCACTAGCTCTAGCTCTAGCTCTCACGTTGGAGCCGTTTCTTCGACCGACGGCAAGGAGGGCCAGCACGTTGTCCGCCGCGTGCTGGTGAGCCCGCGCCAGCTGCGAGAGACGCTTGCACCACGGAGCGACGCAGGAGCTTGCCCTCGCGTGCGCGACCATCTCCACGGCAACCTTTATCGCGTACCGCATCCGAGCGTCAGCGTTAACGTGCAAGCGCGGGGATGGCGTCGGTGCGGGGATGGATGGGGTTTCGACATGAGTTGTTGCATGAGTAAGCGGGGAGGTCGGACTTGCTGCTTGTAATATCTCATGCGCACGGGGGTTTCCACCTTCATCTCCCCAGATATCGATTCTAGAGAAGGAAAAAGCAGGCCTCACCTCCCCTACTTTTGTCTGCCGCGTGTCCTTGCAATAATGCGAAGGCGAGAGAGCGATGATGGTCGAGTTCAAACATTCACGACACCGTCGACACGTGATCTTGTGTTTCAAACGCATGTAAAATGCTTCAACGTGGCAGGTGCATGCATGTGTGGCGTACTGTTAGGAGGTACAACACTGCCGACCGGTGGAAATGACCCAGTCTCCGCACGGCGATCAGGCAAAGGTGCGTCACAGTTCAAGGCAAACAATCACGGAGGGTGCGTGCGTGTGTGTAGTAGTAGTAGAGCCTCGTCAGTCAACATTGTTGTAACGTTTCTTTTTGCTTTAAGGGCGGTCACACGGGTGGAACTTCCCTGCCTTGGAATGCTCGGCTACTCACCTACCCTGACCATTTGATCGTGGTCGATAGGTGTCGCTACTGCTGCCGTAGATAGCCAAGCTGACACCGACGTCTTTCTCATTGGTCTGCCGGCAAAATGCTGTCGACGCTCATAGAAGACACAAGACACAAGACACAAGACACCTTTGTGCCAGCGTGCGCGGCGAGAGTGGCTGTGGCCGGCCCCGCCGCCTCCGGCTGCTGCAGCAGGCCCCACACGAAGCGGAAGAAGTCGGCGTCGAGGAGGTACATGTCTCGCAGGAAAGACATCTCCGCTGTCCACACCTGGTTCAGCACGTCCAGGGACATGTATACCTCTCGCCCCTGGGACACGTCGTGTCTTAAGGGGGTGGGGGGTGCCGTGGAAGGGGGAG